GAAGTTAGACGTTAACACCGTTGGATGTCGGCTCAGTGGTCTAGTTGGTTAAGCGCCTGGCGCGAGACTGATAGGTCCTGGGTTCGAATCTCGTGAGGAGCGGGATCGTGGATGCGCACTGCTGAGGAGTCCCATACTAGGACGAAACGGCCGTCCAGTGCTTCCAGGTTTTCCATGGTGGTCTAGCTTCAATGGATTAATGATTTTAACCAGTGAAACTTTAAAAATAGCTTAAATATTCTGCTTTTCAAAAATAATTCACATTAAAAGTCTCTCTGGAATCTCCTGAGAAATATGATGTACACAATTTAGTGCTTGCTGGAGAATTTTCACAAAGTTTCAAGGATTTTAGAAAGTTTAATTTCCATTTTTAGTAGCTGATTACAGTTTTCAAATGATAGAGACCTCCAAGATGACAGCGTTTTGAATGAAGGTTTCAAACATCACTAGATTCTACTAGTCCTATATAAGAGACATGGTTCATGCAAGGTGTTCCCTCTTAAATGGTAAAATACTACACAACAGAGTTCAGACACATTACGTCCATTTATGTTATTTTTATATGAAAGTGGCTTTTAACACAACAAATTGGACTAAAAACAATCAGTACGATTGAACGCAAAGGACAAAATTCGTCGTACTTACCTTATTGCAATCAGAGATTTCATGGTATCTCTTATCATTTTTTCATGGTCAATAGATATTCTTTTATCAGAAGTAGTTTTGTAGACATTATAGTAATTTTAATAGTTGAGATCATGCGTCAATTGGAGCTAGACCATCATGAAAAACGTGGAAGCACTGAATGGCCCTTTCTTTCTATTGTGGGACTCATCGGCAGTGCACATCCACGGACCCGCCTCGCGAGATTCCTGGAGTTCTAGTGAGAAACCGTGACTATTGGAGTTCAACCAGGTCTGTTGTCAGATAGTTAGTCACTGAAGGCAATGGTGGATGTGTCACTCAACTTCATGGCCTGGTCGAAGTTAAACATTAACACCGTTGGATGCCGACAGGCTCAGTGGTTTAGATGTTGAGCGTTCACGCGCGTGACTGAGGGCCCTAGATTCAAATTCCGCGAGTGGGATCGTGGATGTGCACTGTTGAGGAGTCCCATAATAGGATGAAACTACTAACCAGCTCTTCCAAGTTTTCAATGATGGTCTAACATCAATTGGTTCATGATCTCAATCAAAAACTTAATCTCCCCAACTCTATTCCGATAATTCTATTAGTGAAATATTCTTAATCTAAACTTTCTTTTCTGTCCATTAATCGTATGCATTCATTCTATGGAACACTGCACACTTTAATAATGATGAATATTAACCAAAAACGTGTCTTACTCTCTATGGTATCTCTTACTATGATATCTAGGTTTTTGATGTTTACTACATGATATCCATTATAATTATATATGAATAATTCATTTATTTATTAAATCTAAATGAAAATAGTTAACTTACTTTGAGTAGTGTTGGATAAGGTGGTTAAGAATCGGTCACAATGGCACAGATTCATCCGCTCATTGTCTTCCTTCTAGATTTTACTTTTTAAATCTATTTTGTAATTTTTGTTAAGCGAGCTAGCATATTAACGATTGGTTTTGACATTGATAATAATCTATTGGTCGGTGGGCTATTATATTTGATGATTTCCCAACTGTAGTGGTGCAGAGTGAAAAGTAATAAGTAAAGAAGTAAAAAAAAACATTTGCTAAATTGAGTTTTTTTGAATCATCTTCTCTATGGCTAGTTCTTCTTACCACCACTGATACAACTACCATTTTTTAATACTTCGGTATTCATTTTGATAATGTCATGTCATTATGCTGAATTTTTATAGCAATTTGGGTGAATGGGAGGGCTTACTTTTGTTTTAACTATTTTGATATTTGTCCACAATTTCATCGATTTACTATACAAAGACATGCTAATTCAACGCAATGATAGAATTACTGTTAAATTAACACATAACATGTTTTTATTTCCTAAAGGGTTCTAAAAGACCAAATTGTAACCTATTTCAAATAAGCCAAAAACTAGCAAGAAATTAATAAAATAAAATTTACTCAAAGTGCATAAGTAACTACATGATTTATTAATTTCTCTATGGTATATAATGATTTCAAAGCACCTAAACGTAGATAAGTTCATTTCTACAGTGCACACTAAGAATTATTATGCTACTGAGTTAGTTGTATCTAATCACTTCATAATTAATATAACAATAACTTTTCATTTCGTATAACATTGGCATACAATTCACGCTTTTTACTTATATTATTATTACTAATAATATTCTCTTAATCATCAATTAAATTTAGAGTGAGAATACACGATATAATCTCAGTGTTAGTTTTGTTACTTCAAATAAATATAATTTACTTAAGTGATTACAATCATGATTACACTAAAACGTAATTTTATCACTACTAAATTTAAATAATAATAATAATAATTTAAAAGTAGAGTAATTTACTTCAGATATTCATTAGTGGTAATTAAGGTGTATAGCATCTTAGATCTGATAAATAATTGTTAAACAATCATATTTACATAATTCTAGTTACTGGAAGTTTGAATTTTTAAAACGACACAAGTTTAAAAATTAATTGTAAATTACTTAGATACACCTGTTACCCACGACCGAGTATAGGCTGCCGACTAGCATTCTTCAACCCACTCTGTCTTAGGCCTTCCGTTTTAGTTCTATTTAATTGTTCTTCATTCTTCTCATGTCTCTCTCCATTTGTCGGTGTAATATGTTCTTTAGTCTTCTTCTTCGCTTTGATTATTCCAAGTGAGGACTTGCCTTGTGACACAGTTGGGTTATTTCCTCAATGTGTAATGTAAATAATTAACAAAATTTATACAGAATTGGGATTTATGAAGATTGTTCAAATCTTAACACAGTTGAATTCATGAGTTGATCTCGCGTGAGGGGATCATGGGTTCGCACTGCTAAATAGTCCCATACTAGAATGAAACGGGCGTACAGGGCTCTCAGGTGTTCATTGGTGGTCTAACTTACATAGAATAAATTTATACAATTTTTTACAATAACTATGCTGTACTATTCTTGGTGTTATTAAATTATTCTGAGTTCATTAATTTTTTTAAAGTCTTGAATAGGTTAAAACATGTATATTCAGTAATGTAGTTCATCGTCTTTCAATCAGTCTGTATAACTAGACGACTCCACAGATCTACTGGTTAGCTTTTAATTTGACATTTCATTTGATTTGAATAGATAGTCTTATTCAGCAGTGATCATACATTGTACAATGAATCATCTTAAGGAGGACTTGACACACATGACATTGATCACCACTCAGTGATCAATCAATTATAATTACATCTCAGTCCTACAGGAGGTCGGTCGCGGCCAGGATAGTCCTGTAGTAACGTCTCTGACTGTGAAGCTGGGTGACACGGGATCGAATCTGTTAGGGAGCACCAGTTCCCTCAAGATTACAGATACACCTTGCTGACGAGTGCCAAGTAGCACAAAACCCGGGTTCAGGGTTTTCTATTGACTACCTCCAACCGCCATCTAATTTCAACATAGTGCACGCAACGTTGAGTCACCTAGACTAGTAGCCACATTGCAACTTGGTCGATAGTATTCGATCTGCACTGAGATGGGCTTGACACACATGACAATGATCACCACCCAGTGATCAATCAATTGTGAATCATCTTAATTTCTACTTAAATAATAAAATAAATGTAATTTCAATATTGTTTGTATATTTTGCAAATTATTGCTACGCATCAGAAATGCAAGCTTTAAATTATACAAACTGTTAAATAAAACATGACACAAAGACACATAATTCTATCATATGTACAAGCAAAATTATAAATATCAGTTAAACTCATTACATCTATCACTTTGTCTAATTACTAATTATCAAGTAATATAGGTATTATATTATAGCAACTATCCTACAACCAATTTTGATTATGGTTAAGTTTGGTTAAGCCCTTTTATTAACTTAATAGATAATGTTTGTTTGTATTATTATAATCACTACCATGTCTGAATAAACGTGTACGCTTGATAACATGACAGACTCTACCTAAAATGCTGATCGCTTATATATCACTCGATGATTCATTCTCTTAAATCCTATTATTAGACTTTACCTTGCCTAGCTGCGCCTTACCCAATTCGACTATAAATTTGCCTCTGTATTTGCTCACACACATATACTGGCCTCTCTGCCTCAAATTAGTTTGATGTGCTTCTAGCTTTGTTATCCGCGCTATCCGCTAATAAACTGTTGTTGCCGCTTCTTATTTACTTCTGATTTTAAACACCGTAGGATTTATATAATAACAGTCACAAAGTTGATTGATTAACAATGCTATGCCACTACAATATCACATCAACAGAACTAATATAAAATGGAACTTATTATTTCTTAAGTTGAAACATTCCATTTCACTTCAAATTTTGATAGTTTAAATTATGAAATCTCAAAGATGCAATTTCAACAATACTCTGATATTTTACAATTTTCACATAAGTCACTATTAGATAATTATCAAATTTATTGATAACTAATGTGACTATGTTGTTTTAGTCATTCTAAGTCAATATTCTTCCTGGATTAATTAACTAATAATAATAATAATAATAGTAATGATTGCAATAGTAATAATACTTATACAACTATAGAATTTACATTGTCATGTGTTAATTAATGTTTTATAAGGTAAAACGTTATATATTGTTTTACAGGAAAATATTTCCAGTAAAACGTTATTCATCGAAAAAAGATGGTCAACATAACAAAAGATTTACAATCAAATGATTCTGTCACAGGTTATAGGAAGAACAGTCAGTTTCTTTACATGACCTATTAATTAATTAACTACTCAAAACTATTTTTCAATTATAGAATATATAAATATAAACCAATATCTGTAACAAATAATCTTTGAATTGAAAAACAAAAGAGAAGAAGAAGGGAAAGTTTGAGCAGAAAAATCATGGAACCATTCATTACTACATTTGGTGCTATAGACAAACGAGGAGTTAATGTCATTACAATTAATGAATTACGTAATTATGTTACAGAAAATCATTTAGATAAAGAAATGATACCGGTTAGTATAATTTTATTATGTAATAATATTTTTCTCCTTTTGTTTGATAAAAAAATTCAATAAGAACTATTTATCTTTACTTATAATTAATTCTGTTATCGATATCAGTTATTGCAGTATGTTGTTCTTCACTCAATATGTGAAATAGAATTACATACTATTGATCTGCTTCTTTAAAGTTTTGAGTAGTCTATGTCGAGTGTTGAGTATCAAAATATTTTCGTTTTTCTATGAGAAATATGATGATCAGTACATGTTATGTAATTGAATGAACATTTAAACAGGAAAAATGAAATCTGTTAAAACAAACTATACGTAGTTCATTAAAAAACAACATGTTGTATCTTAAAGGATTTTCCAATTAGTTCTGTATTATTTCAGTTACATTTCCGTTAACTATAGACTTAATGAACATCTGAAAATTTACTACTGAAGCCAATAAAATACATTTTACAACAATGAAGATTACATCATATTAGTTCTAAGCAGGACGTTATTTTGTATATGTACTTAATATTTTCATTTCCATTCAACATCTGTGTTAGATACTCGTTAAAATCGCATTTCACAAATTAGACAAAACTATATGACGTTTCATCAATTTCACTATCAGATATATATACTTGAATTGATCGACATGAAAATAACTAGTACCATCTACACTTAAAGTAAAGAAGTTGTTTACATGCATCATGGTAACTTATTTCTATAGAGTTCAAAAAATATCAAAATTAGTGTTCAATATTTTGTTTTACAAAACAGTTACAATTTAATATTGTTTTATTAAGGTAGAGTGAACTTCACTATTTGCTATACATATATAGTATAAAAATGGTATGGTATGTTATAGTGTATTGGTACATATTGAAGTAACTTTACGCTAGAGTTATTTATGGTAATAATTTGTTCAATAACAGTATTGAAAACATTACAAAATTATGTAAACTATTTTTTTTTAATGAAAATCAAAATCAAATATTATCGATCAATAAGGTTTTCAAAAATTCTGAACATTTTTCATTTCCTATAATGAAACAATTCAATGCTCAAATAATATGGAAATATATAAATATTATAGACGAAAGTACTTGTTCAATTTATAACAATCTTGATTTAAATCTTCTAATTCACTATAAATAATAAATCGTTTAAAAATAGTAACACGTTGTTTATATGACAACAATGAAATACCAAATATGTCTTGTAAATCTTAGTTCCTTCAAATGAATGATACATGTATTTATCAGGAAATGCTTGAAAATGGAAGTTTAATTATAATAGTATTTAGTCCGTAATGACTACTTTTTATTTAGTAGTGCCAGAAGAATAGGAATATTCTACTTATAATATATTTTTCTTGGAAATTGGCAGTGGTAGATTTTAAGTGAAGTCTATACTTCAAGCGATATAAAAGCTATAATCTCCTATTCGTCTGTATATTTAGATTGTTTGACATAGTTTACAAGTCATGGAATAGAATGAATATATTTGAAAATCTTATTTGTTGTACACAATAAAAATGTTTATTGTGATCACTAACATGATTAGAATAAGTTGTATAAGTTAAGATTAATTTATTATAATACAATTATCATGTTTTACGTTGAAAACAGCATTAATAACATTAAATACTGGAACACTGATACGAAACTACTGAATAATTAATGAGTAATATATATGTATTCGATTTTATTTAAATCTATTTAAATGTTTCATCATTTGTTAATATAAGAAATGGCAATCACTGTTCGACCCTGAAGGAACAGGGAAGATAACTTTTCGAAGATTTTGTGAGGTTCTTGGAGTTCATCCAGAAAGACCGTACGTTAGTATTATATTTTTAGATTTAGTTCGCTGAAGTTTTATATTTGACATATATGTTTAAATAATGAAAAGTTTTTATATTTAAATTGTATGCAAAATTTGTTTAGTGTAGAATGGTTTGTAAAATCCAGTTATATTAGACATTTTAAGGTGTAATCATTATTTGTACTTAGCTCATAGAGATTTTAACAGAAATTCTTTTATGAATAAGTATAATTGAGCAAATTAAACTGACCAAATACAATATAGTCATAAGTAGGGATTTAGTTGAAGACTAAATATCATAAGTGGCCAGAATATTCGGAATTCAGTCCTTCGTGCTTCCGTTTGACTACAATTACTAAAAGTGATAAACTAGATTGAAATAAATGCTCCATACTATTTGATTGTCAGTAGTTCAATAGATAAAATCAGTTTGTAATGTAGTCCTAACCTCAGAATTCTGTCTATTACTTTATCATTATCACTGATATTGTTCACTTTGATTTTGATAAATTCACAGTTTTATTATAACAAAATTCATTTTAACTTAATAGATAATATTTTCATCTAAAGGTAAATTATGTAATATTTGTGATGAATGAGACCTACTTTTTATGTTGATTAAGTTTCAGACCTCACTCCATTAAAAATAAAGAAACCCTTTAACAACAGATTACTCCATAACACTTACAAGTTTCCAAATCAGGTTAATAAGTAAAATAAAAACTTCATAAATTATATATAAAACAAGTGTCAATGATGAATATTAATCTTATTCGTATATTATCTAGGTTATATGAAAAAGCTAATTTTAATTTAGTAACGTTAAACAAGATGTAGTGGACAATCATTTTGTTCTAGCCTGGTACAACTAGTGTGGGCACACACAACCCTGCCTGAAATAAAATGTTTTGAACAGCTGGATTTCGACACGGCCATCTAAAATCGGTTATTGGAATGTTCTCTATTTGGGTCATTGGTTTAAACTGATTAACAGTTTTGAGCTCAGACGAGACTAGTGCTATTCGATTTTTGAAATGTCCCCTACCTCCTGTCGGTTAGTAAATAAAATCATTTCTATATTTCATAAAAAAAGTCAAATAAGAATGAATTCCATAGTGATTACGTCGAACTACTTCATTTGTTTATATAGACTTTTCAATCATTTTATTTTTCGAAATCTAAGGTTTTAATCTTGATACCATTATATTTTTTAGTCAAGCTGTAATCAGCAAACCATTGTACGGAATACCTACAACAGGTTTACGACCTGAAATCTTTGTAATTATGCAAGAACTACCATTACAAGATCAAATCAAAATATCAGAAGAAGCTTATAGACTTACTCAACCACAAGATAAATTTATAGAAAAGGAAGCTTCAGAAAAACTTAAAAGATGGCTTGACACAACATATGGTCGTCATTGGCATGTGACTATTGTCAGAGGTTCATATTGGACAACTTATACTCATATTCCAAACTGGTCATTTCATTTTAAAATCAATCAGCATTCATTCATCATTTATCGTACTAATGAATGAAAGAATACTATGTCAGTATATTTTATTTCGATTTCGAATCAAAACAAAACTATATTATTTTGTTACTTTATCTTTTTCTATCAAATTTTAATGAACTTCGCCCATTAACTGTGGATGTTTCGATTTTCTTGGCAGTATACATTTAGAATGTAAAACAATTTACTTGTATTTTTCAAGTAATTATATATTGTGTACTTCTCTGAAATAAAACTCATCTCTCATTTATTGTTAGTTTATCTAATAACAATTTCAATATTGAATCATTTAGGCTAGTATACACAGTACAAGTTGAATGGTAAGTTTCATTGTTAGAGACTAAATATTATGAGACATTGGTTATTGCCTAGTAGCAAATTAGTTTAGACAGAATTGTTTTATAAGAAATTAGTTATTATCGGAATAACTAACTGTTAGATTTTTTGATTTCAGTAGTCTAAGGTTCAACGTTTCGAGGAACATCTGCTCCACATAGATTGGTAATAATCAGTCCTGATAATTTTCAACCGTAAAGAAATCTAAGTCTTCTGAGTTTTATGACAATTGCCTCTGAGCTCCGAAAAGTTTCAATAAGACCGTTTGTAGTTAAATTAATTTGTAGAATGATCAGTGTCTCTGTTGTTTAATATATCGAGAAACACTATTGGACAGGCCTCAATCTTAGGTTTGCACAATACATTACTATCACTTAAAAGATCAAGTATCAGGTTGATAATATATAAGCGAAGTGATGATTTCAGTCAATATGGAGAAACGAACGAACTAGTTTTGATAAAATAAATTTAAAAAATAAACATTGGAAGCTGAAATTTATAAAAATATATTCATGTGTAAAGTTGATACTCCAACATACAATAGAAATAGCTGTATAAAGTATCCAATTTCCATCCAATATAAATATTGAATTGAATTTTCCAGTTTGGCAAAAAATACTTAAAACCTTAGTATTTATTGATTTTGCTTCGCCAAGCTAAATAATATTGTGATTCTATTGAATGAAATACTAAATGCAGATAAAGAGCTCATGCGCGAAACTGATACGTCCATGATTCGATTCCCGTGGGTCGGAGTAGTGGATGCGCACTGCCGAGCAGTCCCACAATGGGACAAACAGCCGTCCAGTGCTTTCAGGTTTTCTATGGTAGTCTAGCTTCAATTGATTCATGATCTCAACTATTGAAATTACTACAATCTCCACAAAACCCCTTCTCGTATAATTCTTAGTATGAAATAAAATGGTAAATCTTGTTTAACGCTTAAATAGTAAGGTAACAAATTATTTTGTTTTGTTTTACTCCAAAGCAGTTAACAAAAACAGATCAAGGAATTAAACTACCTTCATAAAATTTACCTGGATTCTTATGATTACTTAAAATGTAAATAGCCAAAAGTTACAAGTTATTTAGAGTAATTGTTTACTTCAAGTTATATGAGATGTTAGAGAAGATTTGTGGCTCACGTGGATGACTTAGATAGAATTTTGTTTATGAGTTTATGAGTGACTAATTGTGTGACTTCTACCCGAAGTTTCTGCTTATGATGTTGTTGAGAAAAACAATGAAAGCTGCGTAACCGAACTATCTAGCTCAAAGAACAAAACTCCAACTTAATTAAGTTGTATAGCTTCACTTGAATAATTACAATATCTTGATGAGTCATTGTTTTTCCCTAGTTAATCTGTTGATTAACTTATTTTGATGATTTCGCTAAAAAAACAGCGTAAAGTGTAATAAACCTCATAATGTGTCTGCAACAACAGTATATTTGTGTGAATTCTTTTAACTTCACTTAGTATTTGTATAATTTTCAGCAATGTACAAATTCTCGTAACAAGTACTCGGTCATCCAAATGAAATCTATGTTTTACTAGTTTCAAGATTTAAACACTTTGTTTTGCCAAGAATAGATTAAATAAGTAGTATTGTTAGGTTTTAGGTAAGACAGTAAATCTAATTATAAAATCTTTTACTTAACAGATAATTACAGTTATACAATGATGTTTTTATAGAAATGTTTATAAGCTACGTTCATATAGATCTATATTCAGAAGAAATATTGCATTGAAGAAAAAGGTGTGGTGGTCGGTGTTCGATATATTCCTTAAACTCCGTATACAGTTCGTCTCGGTAACCGTCACCAAATAACGCTCCAACGGTATATTAATCAGAAGGCGAATACGAAGTGTTAATTACGTTTATTATGGGACCACACACAGATATCCAAAATTACAGATGCGTTAAGCAAGCATGAAATAGTTGTGCCGAAAGGCAAACAGGCAAGCGAGCGGGCGAGAGAGAGCAAGGGCAAGAGCAAGCGATCGAGCGAGTGAATGAACGAGCGAGCGAACGAGCGAATGAATATGAATAACATGGACATATATATATACATAGTGAAATTAATGAATCATCGAGTCAATTAAGCGGTTAATAGTAAAGCTAGTAGCGTGAATAAATGCGTAGTCAGTAAGGCTTGCCGAGCACACATATTCATACAAGGATAACAATAATAAAGGTACATACATTCGCAACAGTAATAAGGATACAATAAGTTATTATAGTCAGAACTGACAAACGTAAATATGTGGAAGATTTGGCAATGACGGCGGAAAAGGCTGCCAGAGAAGGAAACATGAGACAACTGTACGACACAACAAAGAAACTCTCCGGAAATCACCGTAAACCAGAACGACCAGTGAAAAGCAAGGAAGGCAAGATAATCACCAACATTGAAGAACAACGAAACAGGTGGGTAGAACACTTCAAAGAACTCTTGAATCGACCAGCCCCACTGAACCCACCCAACATCGAAGCAGCACTCACGGACCTCCCAATTGATGTTGGCGCACCGACAATTGAAGAAATCAGCATGGCTATCAGACAAATCAAGAGTGGCAAAGCAGCAGGACTAGACAGCATTCCAGCAGAGGCACTGAAAGCAGACGTAGCGGCAACTGCAAAGATACTCCAAACTCTCTTCAAAAAGATCTGGGATGAGGAACAGGTACCAAAAGACTGGAAAGAAGGACTTCTAGTCAAAATACCAAAGAAAGGCGATCTCAGCAACTGTGACAACTACAGGGGAATCACTCTTCTTTCAATACCGGGAAAAGTCTTCAACAGGGTATTGTTAAACAGGATGAAGGACTCCGTAGACGCCCAACTTCGAGACCAACAGGCAGGATTCCGTAAGGATAGATCGTGCACAGACCAAATCGCAACTCTACGGATCATTGTGGAACAATCAATTGAATGGAATTCATCACTCTATATCAACTTCATCGACTACGAAAAAGCATTTGATAGCGTGGACAGAACAACCCTATGGAAGCTTCTTCGACACTACGGCGTGCCTCAGAAGATAGTCAATATCATACAGAATTCCTATGATGGATTAAACTGCAAGATCGTTCATGGAGGACAGTTGACAAAGTCGTTCGAAGTAAAGACCGGTGTCAGGCAAGGTTGCTTACTTTCACCCTTTCTCTTTCTCCTGGTGATCGACTGGATCATGAAGACATCAACATCTGAAGGGAAGCACGGGATACAGTGGATAGCTAGGATGCAGTTGGATGATCTAGACTTCGCAGATGATCTGGCTCTTCTATCGCACACACAACAACAAATGCAGGAGAAGACAACCAGTGTAACTGCAGCCTCAGCAGCAATAGGTCTCAATATACACAAAGGGAAAAGCAAGATTCTTCGATACAACACAACATGTACCAATCGAATCACAATTGACGGAGAAGCTTTGGAAGATGTAAAAACCTTTACATATTTGGGCAGTATCATCGATGAACACGGTGGATCTGATGCAGATGTGAAGGCACGGATTGGCAAAGCAAGAGCAGCATATCTACAACTGAAGAATATCTGGGACTCAAAACAATTAGCAACCAACACCAAAGTCAGAATTTTCAATACAAATGTCAAGACAGTTCTACTGTATGGCGCGGAAACCTGGAGAACTACGAAATCCATCGTCCAAAAGATACAGGTGTTTATTAACAGCTGTCTACGCAAAATACTTCAGATCCGCTGGCCGGACACTATAAGCAACAACCTACTGTGGGAGAGAACAAATCAGATCCCAGTGGAGGAAGAAATCAGGAAGAAGCGCTGGAAGTGGATAGGACACACATTGAGGAAAGCACCGAACTGCGTCACAAGACAAGCCCTCATATGGAACCCTCAAGGTCGAAGGAAGAGAGGAAGACCAAAGAATACATTACGCTGAGAAATGGAGATAGATATGAGAAAAATGAACAAGAATTGGATGGAACTTGAAAAGAAGGCCCAGGACAGAGTGGGTTGGAGAATGCTGGTCGGCGGCCTATGCTCCATTGGGAGTAACAGGCGTAAGTAAGTAAAGTAAGTAAGTTATTATAGTGCAGATGACTTTGTCCGTTTAATAAGTTAATAAAAGGGCTTAACCGGATTAGGTGAGAGCAAACTCAATTGAACGTGAGTTGCTATAATGGGTTCCAAACCACGTGATATTAAATTAATCCATACTTCTCGTAGTACAATAATAAACTATGGAGATAATGTTGAATAGATAGTGGAATAAGTGGTTAGTTGATACACGTATATGCACTTACACTGTGCCTGACCAGTTTGATTAATTTAAATAATATCTAAATAAACTCAAAGTCCTTCAAACGGCGGAAGCATTAGTCATGTGTACATAAAAATACCTTCAACCGCTTCTCCTGACCTGGTCAACCTCAGGGCTAATAAATCAATGGTAATCTTAGCTACTGAATGATCTAATTTAACTAACGTAATTATAGCCTTTCTTAGTCGAATACAAATATCTCTGTTTTCTTTATTTAGGCATTTATGTATTGTTAATAGTATCGTTATTATTATTGGTTCAACATCATTATTAATTTCCCCAATACATGATTTATTTACTTCTCATTCATCCCACCTTGTTATGTCTTACTCATAATTTTTTACATAATATAGTCCTCCACAAAACATTTGATCGAATTGTAACCTTGCTATTATTTCTCTCACACTATCTGACCCTTATTTATTCTGATCATGGATCTTAAAAATGACGTATAAGTTGATTCAAGTTAACTTAGCATTTGAGTCATCGAAACAATAACAATTTTATTCTATTTCGTTTAACAATTCTAAATTCACAGTCTATAAGTAAACGATTCACTTTGCCCTAAACCTGACCTCCATTCGGATTATTACTTTGTGTATATATTTGTAGATTATTCATCGTTTATATATCTGTTGTATTATCTAAACAAGTCAACGGGTTCTAAAACAACCTACAAAATGTATAACTGCAGATCTGTCACGGCAACGATTGTTCATACTGTGTGTTCAGCTTCTCTCTAGGTATGGATGATTATAACTGCTCTATTATCTTAACGGAATCACCCTCCGATAAATTATTCATACTTCAACAGTGTCCTGTTTCTTCTACTAAGAATTACTGTTTCTCAACTGTCACTTCAAATTATTATAATCCTTGAGATTAATTCCGTTCGAAATAATTTACGAACCACATTTTATTTATTTTAGTTATTGCTTGATTAATCTCTTTCTGAGCCATTACATCTGAACTTAATAAATTGAGAACAAAAATGTTTGAAACAAAGAATCAATCCATCCCAGCTCGAGGATGATCATTGGTTGCAAATAATAACCAGAAACAATGATCTGATACACTTCTAAATGATATGCTGATAATATTCTTTAGAAAGACAATTAAAGATTCACGGTTAAACGATTCAACTCAAAGAACACAGCACCTCAAGTGTCGTCATTTTGATCTATAAATATTCTGCACCATTTAGGAGAACATAATTATTCAAGACTGACTGATTTTGAATGATTCATTTACCAATGCTTAGATTGTACTAAACATTATCTTCTCGACTCATTTTTATTTAGTGATGTCCTAATCATGTGTTTCCGAATACAATAAAAGAGTATTTTTCTAGACTTAATCGGTTAATTTGTTTTCTCTATTAAGTCAGAATTTTTCATACTCTTTATTTACTATCTATATGTGTGTATATATGGATGTATGTGTAAATATTTGCATCATTTCATTATACATCTGCATACCTATACTAAAATAATCATATATCATATTTTCATATTCCAATAGGCGTTGAACAAAACCAACAAAATTAAGTGTTGTCATTCCAACATCTTCAATTTATAAAATCAATCATAATGTGATATGAACTGGCACATCAGTCAACAATGTTACAGTATAAATACGAATAAGCAACATATAAATTGATTCAATCATTTAAAACACATTTACTTAATTCACATTGAATTTTTGTTCATTTTGATGGATCCATTTTTACATGCATTTTTTGCAGTTGATCTTGATCATGATGAAAAAATCAGTATGCATGATTTACAGAATTATGTTAAAACATACAATCTAGACGAAAAAATGATTGAAGTAAGTTAGGGCATTTTTTCTGTCGAAAAAGATTCTTCTGTATTATGAGCACTTGTAGTTGAATAAAGACTATTCATTGTTAGATTGAAAGATGTTTTTCAAAGAATATAATGCTTAGTTGTTATTTATAAGACATATGTTTCGTTAATAACCGTTGTTGAATGAAATATTATTGAAGGTTGTTTTTGAAGTAATTCAACTGACGACTAAGTATGTTGAATCGGACCAATTCATCAATTATTTGGCAATAGAAACCATCATGGTTCCTCAGTCATGGAGTAGTCGTAATCAGTATTTAGTATTTGCTTATTGCCTAGCGCTCGTAGATCAAACGATAGTAAAGCCACCATTTTTAGTGACTTGAAGTCTGTAGAGTAACATAAATTGATGGGAAACTTAGAATATTAATTAGTCAGTGATGTCACAAATAACTTTCGACAGTTGCAGTAAAAATAATATTATAAAAATAGAAATGATATTTCTGGAAATCTCAGTGATTGAAATAAGAAATAATTACGTTTTTTTTGGTTTGATTTGAGCTACTTCAGTTCTGAAACCAAAATTACCGAATACAAATGGAGTTGATCAGCAACTATGAACTAAACGATTTTCAAACATCTCTCTGAACATATCAGTTTCACTAGTCAAAATAAACATGGGAGATAATAATATTGGCTAGAATTGATATTGACCAACCAAATTCACTACTATTATGAATCTGATAATAAGCATTTCATTGGCTGGTCAAAATGACGCTTTTGATTGGTGTAAGAAGTTTACAGGTCAATGGTAGGAGGGAAGAGGTATTGTAAGGGATTGCCAAAGACATGTCCAGACAAGGTATTTGGAACAATTATTTGAATACATATAGCTGTCGTCTATATTACATAGGCTGAAGAGGGATATAGGAATGAAAAATGAATTGTAGTGTCGCAATTACTTGCATTCGAACTTATTTGTTTCAGTTTTTTGGATTCACTCAGTTATATTGTATTTCGTCTGTCAGTTATTCAGTAAAAGAATCAGAATACTTTATGAAGGATTTTGGTTCTATCGAAGTTGATTGTGTTCGGTTGCTACCATATCTAGTGCTATCGTCGATCTGTTTTCAAACTTTTGGAGTATTCAAAATGCATAGTAATGTGCTCTAAACAAAGTTTGTTTTGTCACCCTTTCATTTAACATATCCAATATCTCGCCCAGATATATGACACTATAGCCATTAAATTGAATTCCCCAATCAGAATTCTTGTATTTCTCTTTTGGCATTGTACTTTTGACTAGGAATATTATTCATTCGAAAAAATACTTTTATATTTATTTAGGATTGCTCATACTTCATTTCCTGTCCCATTAAAGTAGGGGAATAACAATAGAGTAAACTTATTCCTTAAGTGAGCCTCTTTTTTCCCTTGTTTACTAATAGTCTTTTAAATTCAATTTTCAGGGTAATCATTCATGACCAGTATAGACATGTTTAGATTCAGTACAATCTCTAAGCCATCCGTGCCAAAATATTAAACTCTGTCTATCGGATCCCTACCGCCTATCATCTATATGCTGAGTTATAAACTAGATATCTCTAAGATTGTCTTCTCTTTCGGAATCCGCAGATTTTATGTAATGATCCTGTTTTCTTTAAAACAAACAGTCATGAAGTACTAGTTTGCGGTCAGCAGAATTAATCTCCTTAATAAACCTGATGCTAAATGATATGCTGTTGACGTTGTTCTGAACGCTTTTTTTAATCAATCTCATTCCGTACTAATAAAGGCATTATCCGGATACTATAACTAGACATCTTTGTGGAAAAGTACATTTTGAGCTTAATCTTCGGCACATCAAATGTATAAACAAGTCCGTACAATTGAGAAAGCTGAAAACTACACTGATACTTCTTCTGTTTACCAGTATAGATTTTCTCTAAAATGAACAAAGTAAAAGATAAGCATAATTCCAACATTTTAATAATTTGACGGAGATACAACAGACAATATATTTCTAAGTTGATGTCAGATTCTAAACACTCTCATGTAACATCTAGGTATTTCTTAATAGGTATATTTGTAAATATTACGCAAAATTCAAAACTTGTTCTTGTTTCATCTTGTTACACATAAATAACAGTAATAACGTTTTTAAATTTAATCGAACATTTGATTCCGTACATTAATTTCTTATCTTAAAGTTGTAAGATTACAATTTGATATTGAAGACATTATCTGTCTGCAAATCTACATGATTAGTTTAGTAACACATTCATGTTGTAGTTAATTAGTAATACAAAGAATTTACATAAGCTTCAACATTGTAGACTGAAAACCGCAACTATAATTTCCTAATCTCGTCTCCAGAAACTTTGTTCAGTGTGATTAGACATTTATTTTCTTTGATATTTTCATAAGGTCCGTCGTGAAAAAATTCTCTCTTTCTTTAGTAATTCGATATTATCATAGAACTAAAATAATACAGTTTAGTCTTAGGCGACCTCTAGTTTCATTACTCAATATATTTTCACACTTAATGGCACAGAAAGTAGCTATCTTACAAGATTTATTGCTGTTTCAACATGCTATGGACTGTTTATATGTCATGGAGTTAAAACTTTGAAAACATAGCTGTATTGTGATCCGATTTATCAATATTTCTTTTTTCAAGCCTTAGAGTAGTTTAACTATAACGCAAATAAATTGTCTTCGAATTGTAAGGAGTTATAAATTCATCAGGTTTGACGTACGTTTTATTATAACTTGTGGCCTACGTGCCCTATTAATGTATAACGTAATGATATTGCCAATTAGAGAGCAGTGAATTATCAATCCGACCAATGACGCGTAAAAACCTGTACGAGCAGTCTAGAATACTTATCGGTCCCGCTTCCTGCCTAGTCCAGAACACCAATCTCAGTCTCTGCAATATGAATCATTGATTTCAAACATACGGAATTTATATACCAACCAGAAAGGTCACACCGTACCATAAAATAGGAAACAACATTTGTACAAGATTTAGCCAAATGTGGCTGTGAGTATGGGAGATAGTAATTAATAGACAGGGCATAATTCAAAAATGGTAAATAGTATAATAATAGTTCATAGGTCAAAATAAGGCTCATAATAAGGGGGACATGACTAAGAATAGTTTAGTTATTTAACAATTATACGATAAAAATATACGTATAGTATTGGCCGATAAATAGATCTCAAAAGTACCATTCATCATGTTTATCGGGGCATAACACGTTTACATTAAACTAATTATTTTCGAATGCAGACATCTAACCAGAAAATAGTTTGTTAAGTTTTTTTTTTCATTCCTCATGTTGACTTATTTACAGAACGTGTTCAAATAGATTGGTAGATTTTGTTAGTATGATATTCTCTGGGTTGAATAATATAATCTTGAATCTCTCATTATATTTCTAGACAAACCTATCAATACAAAATATATCTTATTCTTGTAACTATATACTAACAATGATGTATAAACCCCAGTATTTAAATAAAAAAATTGCTTTGGTAACACTTTGAAAAATCATCTTGATTTAATTGTTCATTACGTTAAACAGTTTTAAAAGATAGACAGTATGACAATATAAAATGTTGTATGATTGTATTATTGAATGTTTAAAGTTGTGGTGTTATTTTATAATATGCTCAGAAATAAACATATCTAACCAAATTTCGCTTATCCTAATGCATATACTCTGGAATATACAAGTTTTTTTACTTCATCAATGCTTACAATATTCAGTCTATTAAATTTATTTGCACCGTTGCTATACTATACTAATATATCTTCAACATAACTTCCAACTAAACCCTCTCATGTAAATAATTTAAATCCATTATGTAATTACGATTATTAAATATCTCAGCTTGTAAGCAGATGATGAGAACCAGCGAATAAGAATGAATTCATACTATTCTGTTAGAATCTTTGTTCTTACTTTATTCAGAATTAGAACTTAAATGTAAAAATTTCATTTGTGATGAAAAGTTATTAATTTTTTTTCTGTAAGGGAGGGGGGGGGTAAATAAGAAAATTGAAAATTTAGAAAGAAATAATACCAGTTGTCAAATCTGTCTCTATGGTTTAATCAATTAACAGGTACCGATCATTAGTCATTTTTAATGAATTACACTTCATTATTATTATTATTATTATTATTATTATTATTATTAATACTTTTTTATTAATTTAATGAAAATGTCACTATCTGTTAATAAAAAGTAAAAATCTGACAACAACAAGAAATTTGGTTTTATGAGATTTTTGTTTTCAAAAAAGGAAAAAAAAATTGTATTTGGAGCCAGTTTATGTTAACTTAAAAAAAAAATCAAATTAGAGCTATAGTGTTGTTTGAGTGAGTTAGTACATTCTTAATTTTATAGGGGAATATTCTTTTCTATCTCTTACATACTAAAGCTGGACTGAATTATTGGATATTAGAAATCCTCAATTATTTGAGAATATAGTTGTGTTTTTTTTAAAAAAAAATTAACTATCCTATATGCGTATATTTATATGTTCGGTATGTTTAATAATAACTTTGGATTTTTAATCTTAGATTGTATGATTAGAAATATGTCAAGAATATGTCAACTAACCGCATCAACATTGAATTTTCAATGTGATGATTTGCATATATATCAAAGTAATTTTGTTCAATCATTAAATGTCAAACTATGACAGTTTTCACTTAGTTTGTTAAGCTTTATTGTTTAACATTTGACTAAGTTTCTGAGTATAGAGCCAATTGATGAAACAGTTTTTAACACAGCTGGTGAATTATAAATTATAAATACAAAATTCTCAAGATGCAGAGAACAGGTAGTTTAGCAATGAGAAAGTTTTACTTTTAACAATAGTGATCTGAAGTTTCAAAGATCGTTCCTTAACTACTGTTTAAATATGTGAATAATATCTCTAGCTCAGCTCAAAACGCAATATATAAACCAGTATTTTGATAACAAGTTGAGTTGTAAACACCTATTTGTTGAATAAAAAACTTGGCCTATGCTGCTGACACAACCTTTTCGTTGTTTTTATGATCACTTTCCATGATATTCAACCTAATGATATCCAAGATCATCCAATTTATAAGTAAGAAAGTATAAGTTTCTATTAACAATTTAGTTTTAATGAGAATACACACATGTAATTAGTACATGAACTGCTTCTGTAGAAAGTGAATGTTGAATTCATTCACCAAATACTATGATAATATATTGTTAGTACTAAAACTTGTACTAGATAGATGGTTTCTCTGACAAAATATTTCATTTTTTCTTATTACCTATAGAGCTGGAGAAATTTGTTTGATCCAAATCGTACTGGCTATATAACACTAGCAAAGTTTTGCGATGTACTAGGAGTAAAAATGGAAGAGGCGTAAGTGTTCTGAATCGGAAATAGGAAATAACATTTAAAAATATCATCTCTTTCTACTAAATGAATGATTGATTATTAGGAGGCTTGTCTGAAAGTAAATTTCATTTTGAAATGATATCAGCTAAAAGTCACCAATCACCGGAGACAATCAGCCAGATAGTTTTTCACTGGTATTTAACCTGTTCATGGGTTATAAATATTATATTCTTCATGGTTAACGATTTTTTAACGATATCATTGACTACTGAGTAAGTAGCCAATTATAACTATTTTGTAAATTGAATTAATCTACAAACAATATCGTCAATTATTGATTATCTGACGTTGGGTTTGATTGATTATAAGTCTTTTAAAAAAAAGACATTTTGACGATAGTCAGCAGTTAGGAATGAACATAAATAATAAGTCGAAGTTTTCATAATTAAGTTATAATAAATTCTGGAGAACGTACAATCTTCCATTAATTGACATTTATGAAACAAAGAGATTGAGTAAAACAACAAATTGCATAAATCATAATTACCATTCGAAACATTAAATTAACTATCTTTTTGATTGAGATCATGAATCGACTGATGTTAGACCACCGTTGTAAGCCTGGAAGCACTAGACGGTCGTTTCGTCCTATTGTGGGACTCCTCAGCAGTGCGCATCCACGATCCCACTCGCGGGATTTGAACCCAGGGCCTTGAGTCTTGCTCGCGTACGCTTAACCTACTGGACCACTGAGCCGGCATCCAATGCCCAAAATTGCGCGACCATCTTCCATTGTACTGAGGTAGATACCTGTCTCTACCCGACATGGATTAGCTCCACTGGTCACGGCTTCTCACATCAATCGGTTCATGATCTCAATCAAAAAATTAATAATCTCCACAACCCCTATACTGATAATTAACTATCTGTTGGATAGATGGTTGACTATTAAAAAATGTCATGTATTTAAATCTTATAAAATTCGAGTATAAGTTCATTTGCTACGGTCTACTGAATAATATTTTATTATGAATACATCATTATCTTCGATCTAATTCTCATTCTAACATGAAAAATCTAATCTATTAACTATAATAATGTTATCTAATTTAGGTAATGAACATATTCATGTTTTGAACATTGACTACTTATATATTCTGAATTTTTTCATCTCTGTTTATTTGAATATAGTCGAAAGGTTAGGGACGAAATTAAAAAACGTTCAACTAATATGCTTCCATCTGATATTTATGTTATTGCTCAGCAAATGAGTATTGCCGATCAAATACAAATAAGTGATCAAGCTAGACGTTTATTAATTCCACCTAATGAACTTGATAATAAAGAAATTGCTCATAATTTAAAATTATGGCTACATAAAGTGTATGGTCCAATATGGCATGTTGTGGTAATACGTGGAGATTATGGTACATCATATACACATTCAGAGAATCGATCATTTCAATTTCGACTACGAAATAAATGTTTTTTAATATGGGGTACACCTGATCAATAACAATTTATTTAAACAGTCTTTTTGATTATATTTTTAACAATAAAGAAATAATTGACGAAAAATTTCTTTGTACTTGTTTCTTTTTGTTGTTAAATTGAGATTTCATTTGTATCGGTTTGTTGTTCTTCAAAAGATTATTTCTGATATTGATAAATTCATTGTGTATCATAAAGATAGTAACAGGTATTTTTCGCATAACTTTGATTAGTTCAGAACTATGAATACTTGCTTCTTGACAATTTAAAGCAATGACAGATAAAATCAATCTTTAGAATAAATTAACATATATAGATTAACTTTTCCATGGTTACTTGGATTGGATTTAATGAGATTCTACATAAATAATAACGTTTAATAATAATTTTAAAAAATTCATCCACTTTTTTTGCAATAAACGTAACGGTACAATAATAGTCAAAATATCTATTTGACATGGTAATTGATAGTTCTTAAATTTTATGGAAACTTTACTTATATGTGTAAGTTTGATATACTTGAATACTATTACAAGTTTACCTTACTCGGTAAACGGAATGAAGATCAAAGATACAGTGACACGATAGGCTATTTTAATCCGTTGTCCCCGGCCCTGCTAACTAGATCATGAATTGTTGACGAGGCGTAGAGAATTTATCTTACAAGCACCCAAAAAATACGAGGTCGCTAAGCACACAATCACAGAAACGCCCTTTGGAGAGCCTGAAAATAGCGTACTAAAAAAATCCGTCAACCAATGACAGTCAAGGATTCTCGAGTAGGAAATGTAAGCTGCAGGTCAACTAAGAGTCTCTTGGCTCGAAAACATAGAATTCAAATTCAGATTTTTCAAGTGAGTTCTGGGGATTTAAAGTCCTCAACAAAGTTACTTTGTAAGATTTCCACAAATTTCTACAGAATTTCCAGACTTGAATTTAGTGGAGATAACTAGTCTTTCACATCCATATTATTCTCATTAGCATGAGTAAAATATTCCATGGTCATGATGTTTAGTCTTCATTAGATTATAATGGATATGATAAATTTTTATGACCCACTGATTTGACAGAAATTTGATCGTATGATGATGTTAACGAAATATGAATCACGGCTATCCACGTATATAATCATCGACTTAAATCGCGTTAGTGAATAACGGGATAAAATAAACCAAATGTTAGAAGGAATTTCGAATAGGTATATTTCATGCACTCGTTTTCCCGGACAGACAGTTAGAGAAACGAAATGGAGAAGCAGACCAGAGAAGGCAAGTGTGCCAACTCGAATTGACATAGTGTGATTTAATATTTGTAACCAGATAAAATTAAGTTACAGAAATGCAACGAAAAGGGTAAACAAAACACATATATACAATCATATAAAACCTGTCATGGTAAAAAATGTGACCTAAGAAGGATGAATAAACTGGTCTGTCCAGAATAACCCATGTGGTTAGAAATTACGTGATCGTTAAGCTTTTAAGCAATCATCCTCTCATTGTGAATGATAACATACCTTCGAACCAACCAAAAATGTTTATGAAACCATATTACAATAACCTGCATCATAATAACTAGGAAAGCAGCAAATTAACAGTCATTAAAATGATAAAAAAAATCTGAGAAGATAGGGTTTGAAACAAACAAATTAAAACGTAGAGTGAAACGCTATGAGAAAACAAGTGTTCAAGGAATGGATTTTCATTCGTCCCTGTTTACGACTTTGTCTTTTCAGGACTGAAACGGAATTTTGGGTCATAGCTAAGAAGTTTGTATAGTAATATCATGTCTAAATGCGACATCTCTTGACTTATGTTTAACTTTCTATTGCGAAAGCCTGTATTGCATGGTTGCTAGATGGACTAACCATATGTCATGTTCAGTTTAGTCTATGACTGTTAGAAGTCTTATAGCAAAAGCCCTAGTAGAGCATTGGAATTTCTATTATGGTGTGCCTAGTAGTATCAAAACCGATAGAGAAGTTCAATTTGAGAGCCGCCTCTTCCAACAACTCACAGAGCTCTTCGGAATCAAACGAATTCGCACAACATCCTACCATCTGATATCGAATGGTATGGTAGAGAGATTATATCGACAACTTAAAGCCTCACTTACAGCTGTCATTAGCAGTAATGACTGGGCCAGCAAGCTCCCATTAGTCATGTTGAGTTTAAGATCAACAATCAAACATGATATAAGATACTACCCAGCAGACTTGATTTATGGAACTACTCTACATCTACCAGGAGTTTTTCACCTCACGTAAAAGTGTTCCAACTGATATGGCCAACTTCGTACAACGTCTAAAGCAACATATACCAAAACAACTTAGCGACAGTACCCATGTGTTTATCAGAAGGGATAATTTTCAGCGTCCCTTACAACTAGCCTACGATGGTCCATTCAAAGTGCTGGAAAAACGGATGTCGTTAGCATCGACAGAGTCAAACCAGCTTTCATCAAAACCAACAATTAGCCAGTACATACAGATACTTCGAAAACCGTCGAATCACCAAAACGTGAGTTCCAATCATCAACGACATCGACGAACAAAAACGAAGAGAATCCAGTAATGGCAAGATATGGTCAAAGAGTGAGATGGCCGCAACTATACATAGCTACGACTTTGAATTAATAATTTATTTCATTTCTTCAGATGTAAATTTCTTTTATCTTCGTTTTTTATGTACACATGGAAAATTTTAACTTATCTATTATTATATTCGACATATTTTATGTATTCTTTTGATCTCCCGTTATTATCTTATTTGGTCTCACGGAAAACTCACGTGCAACTGAGTATGCTCACATTTAATTTGATTGAGTCATTTTGTTAACTTATTAACAAACTGAGTCATCCGTACAACAACAACTTATCTATATCATTGTATCTTTATTATTGTTGTGAATATATGAGCATGTATACTTGAGCATTGCTTACTGCCTGCGCATATATTCACTCTGCTACCCTTACTATTAACCGCTCAATTGATTCGATGATTCATTCATTTCACTATGTATATATGTTCATGTTATTCATGTTCATTGCTCTCTCTCTCTCTCTCGCTTATCTGTACTCTCTTACTCATACTCGTATTCGCTGACTCGCTCGCTCGCTTACCTGTTTGCATTTCGGCACAACTCTTTCATGATAGCTTAGCGCACCTGAAAATTTGGATATCTGTGTGTGGTCCCATAATAAACGTAATCAACACATCGTATTCTCCTTCTGATTAATATACCGTTGGGGCGTTATTTGGTGACGGTTATCAAGACGAACTTTATACGAAGTTTAAGGATTATATTGAATAATGACCACCACTGTCTAATTAAGTGACCAACCGAATATGCTCAAATCTGTCCTCTTAACTTCAACATCGCTCATTCACTGCTTCTACCACTAATGAACGATGGTCTAAAGTTATTTATTTCTATGTAATAACAACTTACATAAATTATATTTTCCCGAAAACTCTGTTTCCAAAGCGTTATCCAGTACAGCGGAACTGTGAAGTGGTATATCCACTCGCTGACAACAGGAAAGGCATCATGAACATTTTACATTTTGTATGCGTTTGCAAAAGCCAAGCAAGCGTTTGTATTCATGATGTCATCAATGAACCATTCTATTCACTTAACTATGTAACGTTTTGTACAAATCACTTTCGAAGAAAACTTTTTGTCTTTATATGCATGTCATACTCATCATTACATTATATTTGAAGTCGATCAAAATCAGTTCATTTCTTCGGACTCTGTCACAGAAATTAGAGCTTCCATCTGCTAATTTGAAGTTGATAGGTCTATCTGAAGATTTGCGATTAGTCCTTATAAAGTGAGATTGGAGAGAGCTCTTAAAGTTATTTTTATCGTAAGTGAAATAAACACAGAAAGGAAATGTATCCATCACTGAATGTTGCCAATATATCAGTCAGTCTAATTGATATCAGTGGACTAACATACTAAAGCAAATTTGAAGATAACACTCTGTGGTTTTCAATTGATCTTCTTTATAGGGTATTTGTAGCCTTTATGACTTTGATGAATATTTTACCTCTATTATCTATCTACTGTTCTGCTCGCTGAGAGAAAATTAGTAACTGGTGAGTAGTTGGAGGCCTATAGGGATTCTTAAAATCATTTTCCAAATTTAGATCGGTCATCTGTCAGAAAACACTGGCAAAACAGAGTGTCAACCATTTCGTGGTTATCATTAGTATCAACACATTATGTTTAAATAAAGTGAGGTGGAATTAAAACACTGGCAAAACAGAGTGTCAACCATTTCGTGGTTATCATTAGTATCAACACATTATGTTTAAATAAAGTGAGGTGGAATTAAATAAATCAAGGATCACGGTTGTCGTCATACATGAATATTAAAAACTTCGATTCCGAGAAACGTGCTGAAAACACTTTTTAGAATAAGTGCATCGGGAAGTTTATCACTGGAACTACTTATCTAGAAACAAGTCATTTCCATGGATAAGTGTATGTCTTCTCAAGGAATATTTATGTTAGGTTTGAACACTACTGAGTAGAGTAAAAATATTGCTCATTAAAATTTTACTATTAGTTTAGATTTACGCTTCCATGAAATGTCTTGAAAATTGCTGTGACTACTTAATATAAGTAAGTAGAATGTAATTATTATTTCTATGTTCATGTTACAATAATTTTTAAAAAAAATTAATGTTACTAACAATTATTTACCACTGTATACTAGATTAGTGGACTGCTGGTTAAGTGGACTTTACGAGACCTGTGAGTTCATGGTTCAATACATATAAAGGGCATGAATCTGTACTGAGGAAGAGTTACATATTTGGAAACAGTAGATACCCAGTTCTTCCTGGTCCTCAATGATTTTCTAATGAAGATTATCCGAGTATGTTAAGTATAAAATTCAACAATCTCCATAAGCTCTTGTTACAAATAATTAAACGTCTTGTTAAGATCATGAATTTATTTAAGTAAGATGACCATTGAAGACCTGAGGAAACTGAAATACCGTTCCGTAAGACTGAAAGCCCTAAGTTTGACTTCTGGTTGCGAATTCATAAATACACTATGTCGAGGAGTTCCATATTGTAAGAGAAAACACCAGTACAGTACTTCTAGGTTTTCAATTATCGTTCAGCTTAGATCAATTTATAATCTCAATAAAATTTAGTAGACTATATAACTTTAAACTGGTAAAAAACTTTTATTTTTCTCCTATTATTGAAGTGTTATCTCATACAATTGAGATTCAAGAATATAACATTTTGCATCATATAATATGTATTCGCTTGGCAGGAGTCTCCTGGTGATCGACTGGATCATGAAGACGTCAACATCTGAAGGGAAGCACGGGATACAGTGGACAGCTAGGATGCAATTGGATGATCTAGACTTCTCAGATGATCTGGCTGTTCTACCGCAAACGCAACAACAAATACAGGAGAAGACAACCAGTGTAGCAACAGCCTCAGCAGCAGTAGGTCTCAATATAAACAAAGGGAAAAGCAAGATTCTCCGATACAACACAGCATACATCAATCGAATCACAATTGACGGAGAAGCTTTGGAAGATGTAAAAACCTTTACATATTTGGGCAGTATCATCGATGAACACGGTGGATCTGATGCAGATGTGAAGGCACGGATTGGCAAAGCAAGAGCAGCATATTTACAACTGAAGAATATCTGGAACTCAAAACAATTAGCAACCAACACCAAGGTCAGAATTTTCAATATGAATGTCAACACAGTTCTACTGTATGGGGCGGAAATCTGGAAAACTACGAAATCCATTATCCAGAAGATACAGGTGTTTATTAACAGTTGTCTACGCAAAATACTTCAGATCCGTTGGCCGGACACTATTAGCAACAACCTACTGTGGGAGAGAACAAATCAGATCCCAGTGGAGGAAGAAATCAGGAAGAAGCACTGGAAGTGGATAGGACACACATTGAGGAAAGCACCGAACTGCGTTACAAGACAAGCCCTCACATGGAATCCTCAAGGTCGAAGGAGGAGAGGAAGACCAAAGAATACATTACGCCGGGAAATGGAGATAGATGTGAGAAAAATGAACAAGAATTGGATGGAACTAGAAAAGAAGGCTCAGGACAGAGTGGGTTGGAGAATGCTGGTCGGCGGCCTATGCTCCATTGGGAGTAACAGGCGTAAGTAAGTAAGTAAGTAAGTATGTAAGTAAGTAAGTAAGTAAGTAAGTAAGTAAGTAAGTAAGTAAGGAGTCTCATTGAAATCGTAGGTCTACATCATCTGTTTGAAAAATGACATGATCAACAACGCCCCATAAACCAAGAACTACTTATCAAATACTGAAATTATTCGGACAGATATTTTCTGTAGATGTTTTTTAAAAGTAAGGAGCATTTTTCAAAACAGTCTAAAGAACATCAGCCAGTGTATTAACAAAGAACAACATCTCTATAAGTCATTTAACACCATTAATCGATTCCAGCCAGGCTCTCAAGGTTCCTTCGTCTACAAAAACTAAGCGTGCCTGTGAGTTTAGTGACACAGTCAAACTCAAGAAACTTCTAGAAACTTGGCAAATCAAGTAACAGAAAGTTATCTGTCGATTCTCTATAAATCACTGTAAAACATTCTAGCAGGATGAGACATTATCAGCTTTTGTAGGGTAAGCTGACTGAGCAGAAAATTATGTATATTTCTTAGCTTATGAACGTCTTTTTGAATTGTCGAGGGATCTCATCAGACTCTCCTTTTTAAAACCATGATTTGACGACAATTCTTCTGGTTAAATAACATAGGTTACTAAATAAAAGTTTAGGGTTCACGTTGATTGTGCCATTTGATATATCAATAATTTTTATAAACACCTGCTAAAGTATAGGTGAACAGTTTTGATATCGTGAGTTTATTATAATTATGAAAACCCGATTGGTAAACAGAAGTGATATGATGAGCCTAATCGGAAGATCAGTCGATGACAATCACAAGTGACTAGAAGTGGATTAATTTCCTAAGGGGTGGAGTGCAACATATATAAATGAGTATTTGTGCAGTTGAGCACGTTGTATATCAGTATCGGATTTCGAACATCGTCTGTCATAACTAAAGGGAAAATGTGATTTGAACAACCCAAGGGAGAAGGCAGATGAAGATTATGTTCACTGTCCAATTATCATAGCAAATTAAAACATAAGTAATGCTAATTAAGTGACACTTTGAATAAAAAAGTAATCTTGCTTATTTATCTCGTCCGAACAGATATGGCATACAATTTACTTTATTTGACAAATAATAAAACAAATATATATGTTTGTTTTCCAAGCATATAATTAATTTCATAGAACGTTTGTCGAAAGCTGTCATACAAGATGTTTTATAACTACAATGTTACTCTAGCCAGTCTTAGGATCAACTGTAAAAGACTCCAGAACGGATTATTAAGGACTTGATAAGTACTGTAAAATCTTCGCCCAAGATTCCCAAGCGTATCGTTATTTTAAACTACAATAAGTCACATGGAAGATTAAGACAATTTATAATAGATAATGATGAGTACATTACTTGCTTTTCTGATGAATAATGTCAGGAATACTATCGGTTTGATCATACTGTTTTGTAGTCTTGAAGTTTGTAGTTTTGATGAGGTAGTAGATAAGCACATATTATTCAATAGTTGTCCATTACTCCCTGATTTACAATGGCTCTTTAAGCGATATCATTCTGTAGTGTGAAAGATTTGGATTTTATTATTAAAAGCGGATTAGAAGTAATTTCTATAATACTACAGTTTGTGTGATTAGACAAGTAGATTTAAAAAGTTATTTTCTTTTCAAGTTCAGAAGAACTATTTACATCATACACAATTTTTTGTAATGTAAACAGATTAATTGAAATATCATGAAGTTATCTGTCTTTTGTATGTTTCAACAGATCACTATGTCAATTAATGGCTCAACCTAATCAGGTGCGTTTGTGAAAATTCACGACCTTTCGCTGTACTGGTTAGTAAAGAGCACAATCAGAGACATTGTGGTTGTTGGTAATATACATGAAAAAGAATGTATATTATTCAAATGTCAATTCTTGAACTGCTCAAATTTAATTGGTGATCACTCAATATTTATCGTCAGGATCGATCAAGAAATAAGAAACCCAAACTTGTTGAAATATTTATTCTGAGAATTCTAGATTGTTGTGAAAAATATAATACTGAATAAAGCTAACAATGATAATAAACGTATATTGAATGGGTTTTCTTCTGGAAAAGTAAAGAAAACAAACCAACAGTCAAACTAAATAATGAAATCCTTCAAAAGTCATTTATAAAATTTTTCCCAATTTACAAACATGTACACATCAAAATAAATCTCCCTTTGAGTACTCATTAATATCAGCTCATTCTTGTGATTAAAGATTAGGTACGATGATTAAACAAAAGTATTCGGTAATGTGCACATGTATGTTTCACAATTGGTTACTTTTAATTTTCTATTAAATATTAGATTCATATGTAAATGCTACTTACATGTTAAATATGTTTCATGTTAATCAATAATCGAGAGAATGTAAGTTGCGAATCAGTGAAAGCGTTCATTCGGATATATATATGTATATATAGCTATTATCTACATTTGATGCATATTTCGAACTTCAATGGAACCATTTGTTAATATATTTTTTGCTATAGATGAGCAACAAAATGAGACAATTACAAGAGATGAATTGAAACGTTATGTAAAGCACAATCATCTAGATGAAGGGATGATAACGGTAGATAATTTATTTTCTTAAAAAATTGCTTTATTTATAATTAATGTTTTGAAAATACTTACTTTTTAAATTGTCAAGAAACTAGTCCAAGCTATACCTGTAAAATAGTAGAACATTTTACAATCAATAGTATTATATAACTTTTCAGAATAAATTCGTGAAGTGATAGACTTAAAAAAGATATTCTCAGACTATAATTATTTACGTATATTGTATGTGATTGAATATTTCTAAACTACAACTTGAAAATTTTTACCAAGAATAGAATGTAGTTAAGCGTTAAATACAAGGTAGCTCAGTTGCATAGGTCTTGTTACCATTTTCGACAACATGGAATATTGGAAAACAAGTCTAATAGCACAATGTAAATTGTTATTGTTGTTTGCAATTATATATATATATATATATATATATATATATATATATATATATATACTGATGCTTATGAAGTTTCTTAAGTTTTCTTTTCATAAGTTCAGAACATCAGAATTATATCCTCATTCAGAATAACGTTTCATGTATAAGTAGAGGAATAATTTAAAGTATACAGTAGTGTCATAAACGGTGTCCCTAAACCAGGGCGACAACTTGAAAAAAACCTTGATAACGTTTTCAATGAACCACTAGAGATTTGCTAGGTGAAAAACTGTTTAAACTCAATTAAAGTGGTTAGATTATCCAATATAGTTTATTCAGTATTAAATGGTTTATCATAATACGAAAGTGTTGATCTTGTTTTAAAATTAAATATTCATCTTATATTTTATTACGTAAAGTTTATCCTCTTGTAAAATAATTAATAATAACCATATTATAAACATTCTTTTAACAGTGACAATAATCCCTAGAATAAACCTACTTGTGCTATCATGGCTATCTAACATATGGCTAAAACATACACTTTTAGGTTTATTGTTTATGTATATAAGAGTAAGTAAAAATGTCTAGAAATAAAGTGTCTTATTAGGATATATTTTGACGTATAAAATAGGTTACTCAAATACTGAGGAATAACATAATTAACCTCAAAAACTTGTATTAAAAATTATGGAATTCGTTCTGAGATAATTTAAAATTAAGTAATAACTTTGACGTCATATTCACTTTTATATAAATCTGTTATCGAACATTTGTGATACTAAAAAGTTGGAACAATTTCAAATATAATAATAATATGTAATACAATAGAAGAAATTCAGGAAGGTCTATCATTATCATTCTATAAATGTAAAGATTTCATGTAATGTTTGGATACTAACAAATGTCAACTAAGAAAAATAACAGTTAAATTCTTCGTAGGAAAGTATAAATAAGAAAAATTATAACACAAAAAAATCCAATAATCTAAAAAGGCATGTTAAACTCTCAGGTGTTTTGAACCTAATTGTGTTAACTTACGATAAAATAAACTCTTAACACATTATCACATGGAGAATACTCCTAAGTTTGAAACGAAAATTCATAGATGTGCAAAATGTGAGGGTTTAATTATCCTATGTAATTACTTGTATTTTTCTTTCCTTCGCAAATTTTAATCAAACAGAGATGGCAAGCATTATTTGATCCAACAAATACTGGTATTATAACATTTCAAAAATTTTGTGATGTCCTCGGTGTAAAACCGGAACAAGCGTGAGTCTAGTCTTTTTGGATTTTCTTACGTTTAGTTTTAACAAGAACTTACTTGAACGGATACAGTTTAAAGTATATTAAACTAGTTATTTAAAATGTTCGATTCCGTGTGTAGTACATTTAGTTGTGAGAATATTTCTCTTCTTTTTATCAAGTTCAGATGAAATTTGTGAACAATACATGTAACATGACATAAACTGCAAGTCCATAAACATGTTCAACAAATTCCAAAATTAACTAGGGCTAATCACTGCCACTTGACTGAATGGAAGTGAAAGCAGCCTAAACTTAAAGCTGAGAAACTGTAAGCTACGTCAATACAATTTGAGAAATCGGTGTTATAAAGCAAATAATATTAAATACCGAAGGAACGAATTGAGCGAAGAAATTTCTTTTCAATTAGTTTTTCATCATGGCTCTACACTAATATTTATGGTTTACAATAATAATATAATACTCATTGAGTGGATATGTTACGTAATAATTACATAATGACCTTTTTGAATTAACATCGAGTAGTTTGGAAGAAGTTGATTATTAATATTCAAAGTAATTATTAAATCAAGAAGTTGCTATGTTGCATAATATATGAAAAGAGAAGAAACGAAATTTTTTTTGTAATGGATGGTCAATAGAATAGTAGTTACGTAAGTATCAAGAAGTGAATGTTGAGAAATCAAAGTTTTTTTTTCAAAAAAAAAAACAAAAACAAACAAAAACAAAAAACCCAATTGTGAGAAGTATGGAAAGTAGTTCTGTTGAAGTGAATGTTATACCGATGGCCAAGGCAGCGAAAGTGGTTGAATAAATTTCTTTTGAATGCAAAGGTCAGGTTTGTGAACATGGATTGCGATGGCTTCCGCAATGTGCAAAAGGCGCACTCGTAAATCATGTAGTATATTTGGTGGGATATGGTAGATAACCTTAAAAGCTTTATTCAATTCAACTTGGTGACCTGTGTCAACCAAATGAGAGAGAATACAACTTTTAATCACTTTTACCTGTCCTTTATTTAGCCACGACGGATGATGTTCTGTAATTCGGTGACGAACTTGCCGTATTGTACGCCCTATACAACTGGCTCCACAGGAGCAGTTGAACTGATAGATACACATAGATTTGGCGAATTCAGGCAGTCTGTCTTTACTGGTCGTTCTTATTTTGGGGTAGTTGTAGAAGATAGTAATCAGTTTGGCTGCATTAAATGTTTTTGCACAGCCCTTCTTAGTTTTTCAGTCACGATTTCTTCAATAGTATCATTTATCTATTTTATTTTTATGAATAGTACTTTCTTAGGGACTGTGGGTATCTTCGCCTTTGGTTTCATCTCCATCATGTGTTTGTCAATGAATTTCAAAGGGTACCCATTCGTACTAAGTATGTTCCGAATTTTAGTCAGTTCTTCTTCAATGGTGTCTTCCGAGCAAATCCTTCTGGCACGATGGGTCAATATTTTTATCAAGATCCTTTTGTATCTGATTGGCACTGCACTGTAGAAATGGGTGTATTGACCTGTTGCCAATGTGACTTTTTCATCTTAAAAACTTCTTTGCTCCTATCATTGTGTCAACTTATCCCTCATACTTATTCAGCTGCTTCCCGACTAATATTGAGTTGTATTAGAAATCATCTAAACATAGAGACAAATTTATTATATGTATTTATCGACAGGACTTTCATGTGGAGGAGAATCTACAGTGAACTATGAATATATTACTGAGTTAGGTATCAAATGGAAACCTGCTGCCCAATAAATCTTAAATCCACGTCATGTTCGACCTTGAAAAGTGGAGCTTCATATACTAATCGAGTTGGTTCAGGATTCGTTCTCTCAAACAATAAATACTGTCTGTCAAACAAGTAGAAATTATAATTCATCATTTTATCATTTTTTTCAGACGTACTCTTCGGAAGAGTGTTGTCAATAACCGACCACTGCCGAAAGATTTACAAATAATCTCCCAAAATATGTCACCTGAAGATCAATTCCAAATATTTGAATTTGTTCGATCGCTGTTAGATAAAAATGTATCAGGTCAAGATATGACACAAATGATAAAACAATGGCTTGACAAAACACTCGACCCTTCATGGCATGTTGTTATAATCGATGGCTCATATTGGATATCGTATTCACATTTACCTGAACAATCTTTACAATTTCGATTGAAAGAAAAGTGTTATTTAGTTTGGCGCACACCTAAACATTGACATTGAATCAATAAAATTATGATGATTGCAGTTACTTAACAACTATTGATTCGTAATTGAATTATGTTTACCCATATTGTTGTTTAATCAACCACATATATATACATATATCGACTCAAATGTCAAACTATCTTGTACTTTATTCAGTGTTCACCAAACTATTTTAATTTAAATCCTTCACAGTTTAATCACATCATACCATACACATTACCGTATACAAGTTATTTATTTTGTTGAACTGTCATATTGATGTGTATGTGAGATTGAAACTTTAGCATATGACTTTGTGTTATGCTTAGAAATATAACTCACAAAATTTACTTTAACATACCTCTTTTACTGTTAGTTATTTCTTTTTAAGTTAAACTGACAATCATGTAATGTTTTTAGTTTATACTTGATTGGAAGTATTCTGAATGGAAGTTTATTCGTTCAGCATGAAATCGATCGGTACATATTCATACCATATAATTATTTTTTCATTATATATGTCTATGTATATGATTGTAACAGGAGCAGAATAGTAGAATAATGATATTATTTAATTAGTATGGATCTGCTATCGATTGAATGTTCTTTGGAATTCGTCTCAGCTATGCAATTTAAACCTCAATAATTCCAACCATATAGAGATTTATAGTTTCTGACATAAGGGTGTTGAAATAACTTGACTGTATAATCTAATATCAAAAGTGATGCAATGTAAAAGTACTTGGTGCTATATCGATTCTTCAATGCACAAATCTTGCGAAGTCAATTTGTTACACAAACTCCACCGACCACTCAATTACGTCCAAGTTCATCCTGTCATTTACAGAATAAATTCTGTCATAACTGGTCCCAATAATTATCAGATTGAGCAATTCTTGTGGAACACAAGAACTTCGGGAATGTCATACTGAACAAAAGTCAAGTAGACCAAAAAGCCACAATGGATTAATCGGTACAAATCACTTTTATACTGAGTAACAATCACAGTGAGTTGCTACGAAAATCCATTGAATGAAAATCACATTTTCAAATTAATGGCTAGTCTTACCTCATTGTCCATTCTTAACAATAGTGTTCACTACAACAAGATAGACATTGATGATATTGTTGTGAGTGTCAATGAGAAGTGTAAGATTGCGTTTTCTCGTTCAGACTATACAGAATCATCGAAAATATTCATTAGAGCTGCAAATCGATATCATCACACAGAACTCTCGGATCCCCAGAATCTTAACACACTTCTAGTCGAAATCACCATTTGACAGACTTGTAATCTCTTGAAGTTTTGTTAGGGTGCTCAAAAAGCAACGAATACATCATTATCAGCTGTAAATTAATAAACTCAAACACAGACGCATTTATTGGGACTATCAATAATGCAAGAAACAAACAGACAGCAAATCTTGCTTTTTCTATGTTGAACACTATAGTAATAATTCTGTCACATCAAGACACGTCCAACCGATATGTTTATCCAGTACATAATTAACATATTTGGAAGATTAAATTAAGACCACGTAATCGGAAGACGATGTTTGCATAATGTTCTCTGTAGATAACATATCATGCACTTAGCACGTGCTACAAATAAAACACCAGTCACTAGACAAATTAAATGCAGAAAGGTGTACATGAAAATTAAAAACGGCCATCCTAATAAATGTATTTGGGAAACATATCCACACTACCAAATATCATGAACAGCATCAAAATGCTAGAAAGTATACAAAAGTCACGCAAGCACTTGTGTACTTTCACTGCTTTTCAGAACATTATGATTCCTTTCTTCGCTCGTCATTGTTATCTTACTACACATTTTCGCAAAAATTTATTCCCGATAAAGTACGCATCTTAAGTAATTGAGATAGTAGGAATCCCGAAATAGAATGGCACTGCAACAACACCAAACAAGGTTTGGTAGGTTACACTGAATGAATATCATACTGAATTAATGCAAACGAATGTTTGACTAACTAAACATCACACTGGATGCAACTATGATCTCACATGAAAACGTGAGTTTAACAGTTTTGTAATGTTCAAAATAAAATCAACTAACAACAATAAGTGAGAAAATTATTTACTAGAGGAAATGCAAACAGAATGCATTATTTTACTAAGGTATAGTCCGATTCCATGCTAAAATAAGTCTCTGATCACTGATTGGAAGTATTCATATAGGATTCAGTCAGTCATCTTCACAGATTCCAAGAACAATGCCGACTAGTTAAGAAAACGTATTTGTCAAAAGAATATAGCTTACCGAAATTGTGTGATTATTGCTAGTCAGATTGACCCAGACATCATAGATATTGGTGCATACATTATTTGTGTGAGCTATTCACTCATTGATTATACTTTAAACATTCTCTCAACTTTACCTACTGCAAATCTTTGAGTTGCCAATTCCGTTTGAATTATTTGGTGCTTTTAAAATGATCTGTCACTGAACACTAACATACTGGCTAGTTCATTCGTTGTCTCTTATTTGAACTATTGTCGATGTTATCAACATAACTGAATGATTGTTGAAATTCTCTCCACCACTTTTAATCTAGTTACAGTTTTAATGGTCGTAATCTTGACAGTGAACAACAGTTCAGTCTAGAATAAGCATTCTATTCAGAGTGAAACTCATCGAATTGCATCAATATGTCAATTTGTGGAATCTGAAACACAATCTCAGCACATATCGCTCAGAACGTCAGAATGTTATGCAATGAAATTTCCAACCTCGACAGACATTACTGCTTTAACGAGTACTGGTTACCATAAATATCCGAATTCGACAGTTACAAACAGGAAGTAGGCTGCATGAAAATGAATTGTATTGACATTTCGGATATGATATGATATGATATGATAAATCAGTGTGAACATCTCATCACTACAAGAGATCTTAATAAAGGTATGAGCGAATCAGTTCGTAGTTATAATATTTATCTGTACAGATGGATTGTAGAGATAACTGATTGCTTTTAAGACAGTGATTCGCCATGAATTAGACAACCATTGCTGAGTTACAATATTATTATCCATGTAGAGTAGGATTTCAAGACAATAATGTGAACAATAACCGATGGATTAGCCAGTGAGTGGTTTATATATAGATGGTGAATTGATGTATCGAGCGTGTTAACATCCATGGTTTTGATACCAGTGTAAAATTTTCGATACGAGAAGAATAGTGTAGTGATGCACATTCGAATATCATAGGGGGAACCCATCCACTCAAGAGTTCAGGTGAGACTTGTCGATAAGTGTCAACTGATATCGGAACTAGATCAATCGATTCCTGTCGACTAACGTAAACTACCTGACAACTCAAAATGATAAACGTGCTGTTCAGTCAATTAAACCAGTGACCACATTACAACTTGAGTGACAGAACTGTATCTGTACTAAATGGTGAGACGAATATGACATTGTTCACTAATCTGTAACCAATCATTTGTACAATTCGAAACACTGTAGGACTTTGATGACTGTTACAATGTATTTTGTTTAGCATTCTAGATACATTTCTACCATAACGACAAACATTTTCTAAAAGATATATCGATGGTTGGATTACAGTGATTAAACTGAGAACACAATCATGTTAAATGATAGAAAAAGTACTTGGTATGAAAAGGGATTATCTGGATAGTCATTCAATGAACAATGTGTGCAGTGAATGTGCATTAATATGATAGGTGCGAAGGAGTTCAGAAATATTAACTATATGATATACAATATTTTCGATGGAATAATTGTATTGTCTGCATGGATCACTGAATGATTACACCTGAATATAATTGGAACGACTACTAAACTAAATGTTTATTACTTTGATGTTAAATAGGTCATTCACAAGAATGTATTGAAAGGTATTTAATCAATTTGAATGATATATTTTCAAATACCAAGCTGTCAAAATTAACTGATTATTTCTAGTGTGACAATTATTGTTTAACGTTAAATTACATTCTACAATTCTAGTCATGATATGTTTAGAGATTAAACTTTTGATAATTACGTGTATATATCTGTTTATGTATATATATATACATTAAATCAAGTGAGTAACTATCAATTATAATCTATGTGTATAATCCACACTATCACAGTCACTATTCTTCAACATGGTTGTAAAATTTGATGATCAAGAGAGCACAAAACCAACATTGAAAGCGTTTCTAGAAATATTCTTCGCAGTCGACAAAGACTGCGATGAAGAAATTACAAAGAGTCAACTAAAGAAATATATTGAAACTAATCGTCGAGATGATGATCTAATTCAGGTTAGTTGAAATGAATCATTATAAATGTATGAATGCTTGCAACTACTCATAAACCATGTATTATTTTGAAAAGAGTTGAATACCTGAACAGCTAGTTGAACAGTACAAGAATTAATCATTCAGTCCTATTGGTTTTTAGTTCATAACTATGACTGTAAAAATGAACAAACATTGAGCGTTTTCATAGACTACTAATGTTTATTGAATTCTATTATTTCCCACTAGAAGTGGATGAACTTATTTCAATTAAAAAAGACTAATCGTCTCAGTCTAGAAGATATTTGTGAACATCTACAATTAAATATTGGAGATGTGTAAGTCATTAACCAGTTTTTATTATTTTTGTATCTCATATTGAAAAATATTCACATATTATCTATTTATACAAATCGTGTTCGAAGGATTATGGTGAATATACGCAATTCACGTGAATATTTTCAGTTAATGTTGCATTAGTCAAAATTGTACTTCTATTGGGAAACGACAATTATGCTCCCTACGACGATAATCAAAGCTTCATAATCTAGCTCTCTATATAGGAATACATCTCAAATTAATAACTTTTCCCATTGGAAATTTAAAATATCATAATCTCATTTTAAAAGAGATTATTTACTTTATGCTCAGATTAATACTGTCTATTCTTCTGACTAAGTTAAATCTACGCCTAATATTGTGTACATGTAATCATCTCTTTCCAGATTCAGTCATCTGAGCAAGGGGGTG